TATTTTTATCTTTCGGACTGGGGATTGAACCCAGGGGTGCTTAACCACTGAGCCACATCCCCAGCCCTATTTTGTATTGTATTTAAAGATGGGGTTTTACTGAGTTGCGTAGCACCTCCCCATTGCTGAGGCTGGTTTTGAACTTGTGATCCTCCTGCCTCAGCCTCCCAATCTCCTGGGATTACAGGCATGTGCCATCATGCTGGGCTTCCATATGTTTTATTTGAACCTTTTCAATGTCATCCATGTTATGTATTTGAACATAGGAATATAATTACAATAGTTATTTTAATACTGTTGACTAGTAGTTCAACATCTGAATAAGTTCTGGATCATTTCTTAAATTAACTTTTTCCTATTATAGGTCATATTTTTCTGCCTCGGTGCATGCCTGGTAATTATTCTGAGTATCAGTCATTGTGATTTTACTTTGTTGGGTGTTCGAAATTTTTATATTTCTGTATGTCCTCTTGAACTTTTTCCCAGGGATTTAGAAACCATTTGATAATTGTTCTTTTGTCCGGGTCTGTTCGGATGTGTTTAGTGGGACCATAGCAGTGTGTAGCCCCTGGTTGCACTACTAGCCCCTCCTGCCTACTCTCCCTAGGTCCCTGTTAACGAGGAGGATTTCCAGGACAGCTGGCAGTGACCTGCTTTACTCCCTGTCCTGTGTGAACTCTGCACTCGGTTCCTTTCTTCAGTGCTCTGTCAACCAAGTGACATCGCCTCCAAATGGGGCAACACTTAGCTGGGGATGGGGGTGGTGCAGAAAAGATGCACTCTTTAGGTGCAGCACAAATGTACAGAGTACTAAAGAGAGAGTATCTGGTATTAAAATAATATGGAGGGAGCTGGGTGCAGTGGCACACACCTGTAGTCCTAGGGACTTGGGAAGCTGAGGTGGAAGGATTGCAATTTAGCAAGATCCTGCATCAAAATAAAAATTAATGTAGCCCCATGTTAGAGCACTCACAGGTGTAATCTCCAATATTGCAACAAACAAACAAACAACAACAACAACAAGAAGCATTGAAGGCCCTTGTGTGATTTCAGAAATGGGAAAAATTACCTGCTTCCCCATCCTGGTTTGTTTAAAGAGTTAAAATGTGGTATTAGATATTATGCAGTGATATAGGTTCTATATCACTTTATCTATATAGGTTCTATATCTACATGGGTCTCAAATGTTTAGGTGGTATTATAAGCCAACTAAATTATCAATTTTAATATTCCCCAAATTATAAGTAAGTTTGGTTTTGTGATTACAGACCTTTTTACTTATATGGCAAATGGCATCTTATGAATCTCACATTTTAAAATAAATAATGATACAATAAAATGAAAAACTACCTTTTTAGGTCATGGTCAATTTATGGGCGATAAAGTACATTATTGGAATAGTTTTAAAAAGACAAATACAAATAGTTCTCCAGTATATTTTCCCAACAATGTGATAATAGACAATATATAAATCCAGATGCCAGTCTTAGTGATAGCGGTGTTAACTTTCTTAAGCATTATCCACACTTCCAGTGGAGTACTACCATGAAAACCCCATCAGGGATGTTCTGAGAACACACCAGCAATGAGCCAAGCTTCAGCAACATCCACAAGAAGCATGTGCAAGAAAACAAAGGGTTGGCACACATGATAGTTAATATTCCTCCCAACTGAAAAATCTATAATTCCTGGAATGAGTTTTTTGAAGAACAAAAATCAGTTTCTTTTTTTAAGCTTATTTGTTAAAACAGTGCGTGACGGATATCTCCATAGCATATTGCACAACCACCATGTTCTGATTCAAAAATCTGTCAAAGGAAGCCAACCAACATGACCCTTACCACAAATATTTGGCACTTTTCATGATGATAACATTTGAGATCTACCCTTCCTGCAAAACAGGGAAGCTCTTGGACAATAAATAAGTAAACTTCTTCCTCCTAACTTTTGTACCCCTCAATTATCATTTCTCCATCCCATCCCACTCTCAACCTCTGGTGACCTCCATTCTGCCATGTTTCTGTGAGCCCCAATTCCAATTCCACTTGTCAGTGAGGCTATACGTCACTCACCTTCCCATCATGGGCTTATTTCACAATTTCATCCTTGTTGTTGCATTTCACCACAACATCCCTCCATACCCCGTAAACATATAAAACTGTCATTTGTCAATATATAGCAACAATCATAATAGAAAGCAGAAGTGACATAATGCCTCCATTTTGCTCTGATAGAGAAGGCTAATGAGCCAAGGGATACGGAGCTTTTATAGAAGAGCTGAATAAAGGTCAGTCTAATCATTCTGGGTTCCTAGCACCGGAAATTCCTTAGTTTTTGGTTTCTGAATCGGGCTGCTTCTGGATCAACCATTATGCTCTCCCTTACTTAGGTCATGAACTATTACTAAAGCACACAGTTCCCCTAATAGGAAAATATTCAACTAAAGAGAAAATATTAGAAAATAATTGTGAAACTGGGAAAAAAGTGTCCATTTGATTATTTTCCAACTTCAAGAATATTTTAATGATCCATTTGTGTCAATTATAGTGTAGATTCCAGAATAACCCAAACAAAAGGGACATTTGTTTGCTTCTAGGATGAAAGTATTATTTTATTTTTTTTAAAAAAATCAAGATCAATTTTCCATTAAATGTTTGTTTTTTCAAAAGATGTGAACAGAGATCCAGAAGCACTGGTCAATCTAGGCAAATGGAATGTCAAGTAATGGAATCTGTTTCTGCACTCGGCTCAGCAATGCTGAGAAGGCAGGGAGATGGCTCTATCCTTAGTGGCATCAAGAGCGAGATGAGCCAGGAGTTTCATAAAAGTATGACAGCTCAATGGTATTGTCCCTTTGGCAAAGTGACTCTCACCCTTTGTGTTTGCTTCCTCATCTCTACAGCTGACCCAGCAGGGAAAACAAATCTTATGTATGTGCCCACGATTTACCCCACGTCTCTATTACCATGAAGGATCAAAGCAAACTGGAGAAATATTTTAATTCAAGCCATTTGACCCTTCACAGAAATAGAAACATGAGATAGACTCGGTCATTTATCAGCAATAACCACAATCAAAAGAGGTTAAGTTCATGCTTAAAGTGATGGCACTTAGGAAATGATGAAGAATTGGAGTGATTTCCTACAGTGAATTTGGGCCACAGTGTCAAGATGAGACCATTTGCCAATGTCACCATTTTCCAGCAATTGGTCAATGTCATATTAACCACTCTAGTTTTAATATTAGAAGTTTGAAGTTCTTAAGAGTCAAAAAACTTCAGCCTTTTCAGATAAAGAGTGTTAGTTATGCTATTTTCTTTTTGTGAGAACATTATATGGGCAATCATTACACTGTTAGCTTTATATATAGAAGGGTGCTACTTACAACTAAACTCTATATAATTAGAGTGGTTTTCACTTTTAGTGACTCATTTCTCTGCAACAACATAAAAAAGTACTCCATCTGTATTTTAGTCAATTGATGGCTGTTCTTGGCAGAAGGTGAAATATATGCATTCATACATATATACTTCTAGTAATCAGTAAAGACTTATCTTTTCTTTACTTTCTGTTTAAGAATTTAGAATGAAAATCTTACCAGATAATAAATATCAGATCATAAAAAGGTAAACAGGTCTTGCTAATCTCAATATACAAGGAATATAAACTAATGCTCAAACTATTACAAAATGCATTTATCTGCAAGTTTTATATAAACTAGGGGGGGAAAGTCACATTTTCATAATTTAAATTTCACACAACTTCCCTTACAATAATTTTATTTTACTCCAAAAGTGAATTTATTTTCAAACGAAAAGATAAAGTCCAAAAATCAGTACAGAAGATTGACAGTGGATGATATATCAATGCACTTTTTCAGTCTTGCAAGAAACACCGAGAACAGTGGTTTATGGTGTTTTACTCTCTGCAATTAGATAAAATACCAACTACCCAAATCTGTGATGTAAAATGTGTGTGTAAAAATTTTAGTGATTACATGATGTCTATGCCAACTTACAAATGCACTTTATCTTTGTTGAATCTTTCTTTACCCTGCATAGATCTCTGAGATACAGCAAAAACCAAAAAAAAATATATATATATATATCATTCATGCAAGTGTGTTTCCTACATGTTACTGTAGAAATAAAAGATCTTTTGTCATTCACTTAAACATCAGTAGAGACGAGGTACTCTGAGAAGAACTCCTATGCTGGGAGCAGACCTCAGACAGTACCTGTAGTAATCCCTTCAAAACTGAAACAAATGAGATGGGAATTCAGTTATGTAATAGTCAGGCTAACTGGCATATTTCCAGCTTGCCCTGGTGTGGACAAACTCCATGATCTAATTAGTGCTTGGCAGGCAGCTGGCATCTGGGTTCTGGAGACTGTAGCATCACTGTTCTTATATAAGTGGTTTATTTAAACCAGTGGTAGTTCCATGTGGTTACCAAATAACCACCATCTCGATACTCGTTCCTGGAACTGTTAGTTCCAATCTTCGGCTATCTTGGTGTGTGTATAAACTCGAATGAGACACATTTCAGTACTTAGTAGCATATATTCAGTTTGGTGTGATCTTTTAAAAATCTGGCTTCGTGATCATAAACCTGTGATTAGAAGAGCAGATTTAATATGGAGCCTATAAATTCTGCCTTTCCTTGGAGCAAGTAGCCTCCATCTTATATTTCAAAAGCAACTGGACAAGAGGATACTATACAATGATATTTATGCTTAGAGCAATTGAATATTTGAAAAAGAAATTGCAGCTGATTTTCCTAACAAATTGAAAGATATTCAGTAAAAATTCAGGAAATCAGACATATCAGTAACAATGTTTAGAAAGAGAAATATAGAGCTGAGGGACCTGGTGTTTGATCCCCAGCACTGTCCCCACCCCTCCACCCCACCCCCCAAATAAAAAAGAAAAAGAAAAAAGAGAAATATAAATATAGAATGATAAAAAACTGACATAATTTCTCAATATGGGGGGGGGGGAAATAAGTTTAAAATATGTTTCCTTCAGGTATTGATATAAATAAAGAATAAATCTTTTTCAGTATAAGAAGTAGTATTTATGTCATCATAAATTTAGTTAAAAGCATGATCACAATTTACAAAAACTATAATTACAGATTACAAAGAAAATAGGCAGACTCTAATTGACATTCTGTTTGCATCTTGTTACCTATCAATTTTCTGTTCCATTACAAAATTCGATATTAAAATGTTATCACCAACATTCCATATTGATTTCAACATTAAAATTTATCAAAATGATTAAAAACAGTCAATTAGAAAAAGCAATACACCAAAAATAACATTTCCAGGTCTCTTGCATTGCATTGACCATCGGATAAGGAAATCAAACACGCCATTAACTTTTTAGCAGGCCCTTGGCACTGGATTGCAGGACTACAGAAATGCTGGTGAAGTGATCAAAGAAGCATTTCCTGTCCAAAAAAAATATCAGCAGGGAACAAGAACAGGATCCCAGATAAGCTTCTGAGCAATAAAGAACATTAGAGTTTGACTTTGTCTCGTAGGACCAGAGCCTCGTGGACATTTTCTCAGCTAAAATCCACAATTATTACACAAATTAAATTTCTGTGTTGGAAGAGAGCATTCCTTCTGGGGCAAACTACTCCACCATGATGAATGAGGATTCCTCCTTCACTGTCATATAAATTGCACTGGAGGGAGGTGTCCACCAAGGCAGAATGGGCCTCCCAGCACCCCAGGTCCTCAGCAGGTGGTTAGCACTGGCCCACCCACAGGGATGACCAGATCAGGACGGTCCACAGTCGCTGGGGTAGATCAGCCCACTGCCAACCAGAAGACATTGTCTCTCAGGACTGTGTCTTGACACGTGCACTTTGCTGAGTGGTCCTAGCACTCTTCAACTTTCGAAACTTTTGATTCATTTTCTTTGCGTAACTTTTTCTGTTGGTAAATGCATATGGCTATAGCAGAGATGCAGAGCAAAATAAATATCACAACTGCTATCACACCTGGGGTAGGGGAGAAGACAGAAGAACACCAAGTCAGAATATAAATGGTGATTTTTGCCTTAATTGGGGGCCTTGCTAACATCACTGCCTAATAAGTTAGGTTACAACAAACCAACCATGTACTATATCATAAGTTGGGACCATCAAGCCTCAGGAATTTTAAGGTCCAGTGGTTTTATAACATTTGGTATGTCTGAGTTTCCATGACTTTTGGATATAGCTGGGGTAGTCCTTTTCCCTAAAGGCCTGTGATTGAAATTCAGCTTTTGTGCTTAAAAACAGAAATAGGACTTGGGAAGCTGGGGCAGGAGGATCACAAGTTCAAAGCCAGTCTCAGCAAATTAGTGAGGCCCTAAGCAACTCAGAGAGACCCTGTCTCTAAATAAAAAATTTAAAAGGCTGGAGATGCTGCTTAGTGATTAGGTACCCCTGGGTTCAATCCTTGGTTCCGAAACAAACAAATAAACAAACAACAAAAACAAATATACACAAGGCTCTGAGACGAAGTTTTAAATTATCTTAAAAGTATAGGGGCTGGGTTGTTGCTCAGTGATAGAGTGCTTTCCTTGCATGTGTGAGACCCTGGGTTCAAACCTCAGCACTAGATAAAATAAATGAATAAAATAAAGCCTAAAAAAAAAAAAAAAAAAGGTTACTACTACTACTAAAAAAAAAAAAGTATAGTATGTTTAGTACCATCCTAAAATAAATGTTATTTTTAACTAAGTAGATACATTTTCATGAAATTGTTTTATATCTTTGTAAATTTGTTTTGATGATAGAGATCAAACCCAGGGCCTACCACCCTACCACTGAGCTACCTCCCCAACTCCAAAATACTTTAATGACAACATAATTTTGAAATGCAGTAGTGTAACATATATGTGATCAATCCCTGTCGCCAAAAATATTGCAGGGATACTTATTAAGTTTATTTTTGTGGAATGTGGACTATTTGAAAGAACCAGGTGTAAATGTTCTAAAATATTGAGACCATTAGCTATGCCATGGTTCTCAACCCGAACTCATGCTGAATCAGAATACCTGAGGGGAAGACCTGGTGCCTCCTTCTAGTTTAAGGCTGTAATTCAGAGCCAGAGTGCTAAAGCACCCCCAAGAAAGCTAGCTGTGCAGCAATCATATTTGTGAAGAATGAAAGTCAAATCTATGCTACACCAAATAACTACGTATAAAGCCAAGCTTGGAGTGCCCACATTGTAAGTGTAAGACAAAGGGTATCAATTTGTATCTCCATCTGGTGACTGTTAGAATATGAAGACTGTGTCTGTGAAGAGTCTTTGTGATTATTAAATGAAATAAAGTGTATAAAACAATTAATTAAAGTCTAGGTATGGTATAGTTATGGTACTTTCAGTAAATGAAAATTATTATTAGTTTTAAAAATCATAATAATTTCATAAAATTATATTTCTAATTCAATGACTAATGGTTACTTGAATATTTCTTTTATTATACTAGCAAGTATTTCAGAGGATCAGGTTGAAATAACAGTAAAAAACAAACACTTGATTTAGTAATAAACAGACATAACAGAAAAATTCTCTGAATCTTATCTCTTATGCAAATTATGACAATAAAATATGCGAAAGAAATAAGGCTGAAGTATATATATGAGAATAAAATAAATTATTGAAAAAAAAAAAGACCAGGGGAATCCTTCTGCGCATATTCCTTCTTCCCCTCCCCTCCTTCAAGAGCTCATTAGAGTTTCTCAGGACAGCCCAAGAGCACTGTATGATTGATTGTTGAACAGCAGAGAATCTTGCCAGTGATATTTACAGAAAATCTTGCCAGTGATGTTTGACCAAAAGCAATAAAATTCCAAAAGTAAGTTTTTGTTGTTATTGTTATTGTTGTTCTGTTTTCAATTTGCTGACTACCTCTAGCTCTTCAAGAAGGTCAGGGGCTAAGTCTGACATTTTGCAAACACTTGTAGGACTTGGGATCCTGTTCTGGAATGTTGAACATCTTTAAATTGCTTTTGTATTGCAATGAAAAATTGTCTCAAAAAAATCAGGATTTATTAAGGATTATATTTGATTTAAAATCTACTTTTTAGATATGCATTCTTGACTACCTTCTCACATAAAACTGTGTAAAACTGCTTTTTCCTCATTGGGTCATGTATTTTTATTTTATACCTTACAGATTTCAAAGAGAAAAATAACCAAGAGAGTGACAAATGTTAATACACAAAAAAAGATATTTAGTCAGGTTTTCATAATGTCTGAATTGTTTTGTTTTCTATCATTTTAGAGGAAAAAATTTTGCTTTGTATGTACTATGAAGAGTCTATACAACAAGAAAACGATATTTCAATAATCAATTAATTAGTGAGGAAATATGAAATCTTATTTTTTTCATACCAGCTCTGGATAAATTATATTTCAAAAAAATGAAACATTGTTTTCATTGCCAAAAAGATATGTTTAGATTGTATTCAATTTTCCCTTCAGTGAAAAATAACCTATCAGACTAACTGGAAAGGACAATTAAAAGTGAAATAAACCGTGGCTTTTGCTGTACCACACTGAGAATGTACAAGATGACACTGAATTGTACAGTAGAAAAAAAAAATGCACTTGAAGTAATGTTCAGCATATTTAAATTTTTAAAAGTTTCTTTAAAAAAATCAAATAATAAGTGAAACATCTAAATCATGCAAATTGCCTTTTTTTAAAAGTGTCATAACACATGTGCTCTATTCATTATTTGGCTTTTGGCTTAGGTTTTTGTGGCTGTGAATATAATTACTTGGGGCAGTGTCTTGCTCTAATAGCTATATCAGATCTATGCCCTATCTATCTATCTATCTATCTATCCATCCATCCATCCATCCATCCATCCATCCATCCTTCTATCTATCTTTCTATCTATCTCTCCCTCCTTCCTATATATCCCTCACATCCTAGGGAATACAGTTATTTATGAAATAAGAATTTTTCATTATTTTGTAACTTTCTTTTATTTTCCCTCGGACTGTGGATGGAACCCGGAGGCCCCCTTACCCCTGAGCTACATCACCAGCCCTTTTATTTTGAGACAGGGTCTTGCTCAGTTGCCCAGGCTGGCCTCAAACCTGCCATCCTCCTGCCTCAGCCTCCCAAGTAGCTGGGATCCCGGGAGCGCCACCACGCCAGACTTTACCTGTTCTTTAAAAATCAAGTTTTCAGTGGAATCATCACAGAAGCATCCTCCCACTTCCCCAACCCCAGCTTAAATCAGTAAACATCAACTCAGAAAACCCACAAGCACCCTTTCCCCTCCTGGAGTGCTGATTCTTAGCTATATTTTTCTGTTAATACTGTCAAATGGGAACAAATAATTTTTAAAATTTAAAAAGTTTTTTTTAAAAAAGCGACAGTAATGCCGCAGACGAGTTCCTTCAGCCCCTTTACCTCCGATGACCCCAGAGTCGCTTCTGTCCGCCTTCACCAAAGGCTCTCCCTCCTCGCTGGGTTCGGAACGACCTAGGGTAGGAAAGGGGAGGCTGCCAAGGGCGTCGCAGGCCCTCTCCACCGCGCACAGCCGCGGTTCCAAGGCCCGCGGGGAGGGGCAGGGGGCCACGCACCTGCGCCACCTGCGCGCCGCGGAGCCAGCTCCCGCGCTCCATCGCCGGGCCGCGCCCCCGCCGCGCAGCGGGCCCCGGCGGCCACGTGGCCGCGGACGGTGACCCGGGCCGGGCCTCCGGGGCGCAGCGCCTTCAGCGGGGCGGCGCGGCCGAAGCGCACAGCCGAGAGGCAGCCGGTGAAGCCGCGCGCCGCCGCCCGCCGCGTGTCGGGGTCCGCGCCTGGGGGCTCTGCGGGCACAAAGCGACACAGCGTTAGGACGCAGGGGCACTGGGCGCGGTTGGAGACCCCGCCTGCACAGCCGCCACCGGCTCCGACCTGCGCCCCCTGCGCGAGAGCAGGCGGCTGATGGCCATTTCCACGGCAGAGGGCCTCCGTGGACAGCTGCGAGGGACAGCGACTCTGTGGGGGCTTCAAGGCGACGATCTGAACTCGGTTTTTAAAAACTGATCATTAAAACACACTTGTCAGGGAGACCACAGCCGGCAGCCGCGGGAGGAATTATAGTAAACTGACTCCTGGAGACGACAGAGCTCTGGAAGTTCAGTTTTTACTCCTTCTGTTCAACTGTCATCTTTCATGATGTACATTGGATTCATGGCTTTCATGTCCTCTTAACAAACTGTACCTTTTATCCCCAGATAATGCCCTCCCCCACCTTTGAGCTCATTCAGTTGTTCTAACCTCAGGCGCATCTTGTCTGCTGGCAACGCTGCACCTCTGAAATTCATTAGCTGGGACTTCCTAGTGGTTTTCTTATTGTAAGAGCATTTAACTACATATTTTTTGACCTGAATATGACAGCATTGAGGCTATTCACATTTAGAGTAACAACTTCTATATCTGATTTGATTCATTCTATCTTACACTATTTATTTTGCATGATGGTTTTTTTTATTTTGTTGATGTAGTGGTGTATTATTATTATTATTATTATTTTTCAGAGATTGAAGCCAGGCTTAACCACTGAGCCACATCCCCAGTCCTTTTTCTTTATTTTTTATTTAGGGACAGGGTCTCATTAAGTTGCTTATGGCCTCCCTAAGTCACTGAGGCTGCCTCAGCCTCCTGAGCTGCTGGGGTTATATAGTTTCCTTCTTCTTTCTCCTTTTCTCTTTCCTAAGTTTGAGAGTTCCACTTTCTTAGCACCCACAATCAGAAACATTCTCTTGTACCATTACGTGAAAACAAGATACTCTTTTCCCCAACACATTCATCCATCTCTTGGCTCACTTGCAGTCAGTAAGAGGAGCCCTTGGGCATGGGCCCTTTAATAATGGTCAGGTCCCCTCCCCAGGTCCCTCCCTGTGTTACCCACAGGCCAGAGAGTGAGCCTTAGACAGTGTTGTTTCCTCTTAGTTTTCCCTCTTTAACCCTCTTTGGTTTTACTCATGCTTATCTCCTGACTAGAACTACCATTTCCCTTACTTTTATGTATTTTTTTCTTCTATTTCAAGAACCTTTGTATAATTATATATATTTTTTTCTAAGAAAGAACTTTGACATCACTGAGATTCTACCCTTAATCAAACTTTAATCAGGCTTCTCTGAGCCATCTGCTCCACTAGCCCCATTTTTTTTTGTTTGTTTGTTTGTTTGTTTCTGAGTTGTGGAATTTAGCCAGAACCCTCCACTCTCCTTGACGTCCTTGACAGTCCTCCAGGTGATTGATTAGCCCAGCAGGTCTTCATCAAGAATCCCAATAGGTCAATTTAGTAAGAATTCTCCTAACCTCTTGGTAATTTTCTACCCACCAACCAACCCCCCCCCACCCAACCTGGCTGGCTGCCAGTCTACACTTTTCCTTGTATCTTAAGCTGAGCCCAATCTCTTCACTGCAAAACCCCAGTCCAGAGTTCCTTTAGTCCTGAAGAAAGTCTGCCATTTTGTCATGTGTAAAAATATCTCTCTCTTTGACACAATATAATACAAAAAGGTTTTACAATAAATCATGGTATTTTGGACAAGAATCATATAGTTTTAGGGGATCTTTTTTCTGATGAATGGTGAATATTCATTTAATTTGAAGGTGATGGAACAGAATAGACCTCTTCTAATTCCTCAGTAAATTACTTAAGTCAATAATGATCACCAGATATACTTTTTTTTTTAAATATCTGAAAGGAAGTAATCACTTTGCCTACTCTGAGTCTACCAGGCAATCACTCATTCAACAACCCAGGAAGAAACCCAAGGATGAAACACTCCTGGCTTTTAACAAAACACTGTTAGTAATTGTTTCTCAGTAGAACACATTTTAAGTAGAACTCAACACTTCGGCAGTGACCTGAATTCGATTTTCCTATTGCCTTGACAAGTTGACATTGTCTTCCATTTCTGCACCTGTTGGCTAATTAGCTCTAATCAAAAATGTCTGTGGGTCACTCTGCCCCCCTCTCTCTATGGTACTCTACCTGGATTCCTTCCAATTCTCTCTTCTTTTCCATCAAAGCCTGTTCTTGAATAAATTCACTTTTGCATAAATACCTAATTATGGTTTCTGATAGTACTCTAAGAAGTATATGCATTTTAGCAGAAGGAAAGACTTGGTACAAAAGAAATGGTTCTTTAATTATGGAATTTGAAATATTAACACCTGAGGAGGTAGAAAAAAATATTTGATGTAGGGCTGGCTTCCCAGGTCAGTGTCATGCCAATTAGAGAGGTGTCTGCTTTCACAACAGGGTGTCATTTGTTTGAATGAAAAAAAAAATGACTACATAAGCAAGCAAATGGACAGTGTTTTACATTGTGCAATATGGTAGACACTAGCCACATGCAGTTCAAATCAATTAGAATTAAATAAAAAATTTAGTCACTCAGTTACACTAGCCACATTTCACTTGTTAAAAAACTAGGTGTGTCTAGGAATGACTGTGTAAGTCAGCATAGTTCACCATCACAGAAAGCTCTATTTTCTAGCCTTGGTCTTGGAGGCTCATAATTTCAAAGACCTCAAAACATCCATGATCCTCACTGACTCCCAGTTAATGTCAAGTTAGAAAATCTCAAGAGATTTCTATGGATTTCTACTAAATTATTTCTAAGTTTTCCTCATTTTACAGATGCTATGAAAAGGAGTTAACTTACACAATTAATCTTGGATCTTCCTTGATAAACAATGTAAAATCTCATCTTTTTAATTTTTTTAGATTTCTTGTGTTTTCACTCTATAAAACTGAGAAAAGTAAGTTGCCCTGGGCTCAAGTGTTTCTCTATGTTTTTGCCTGATAAACCAAGAAATGTAAGACCTGACAGCACTTTATCCAGACCGCTTCTCAAATTTGTTTGGCACAAGCAATTTTGAGGGATAAGGATATCTTCCCTATGGGATACGGAATAGGCTTGTTTAGTGCTTGCTACAAAATCTGTAGATTCCCTAAGCTATGTGTTCCTCAGTTACAGTGCAGACCCCGCCCATCTGCAGCATTGACCCGAATGTTTATCCCAGCTCCGTAAGACTTAATACATCGGGGAAACCGTGCCAATGGCTAATGTGCATGAAACTTGCTATATAAATAACAGAGCCCTTTATTTCTAACCCAAGCGATCTTATATCATCTGCCAGCATCCACAAATCAATTGTAGGTTTCTTGAGTAGCTTATGAATCAGGTAAAGAAAATCTCAGACCCAAAATACAATAACCCTTGTAAATGAGGCAAATATCATAGTATAAAAGTAATATAAAGCCATAGCTCCACTGAGCTTTAAATGTTATGTCTTATGTGACATCTCCTTGTAGAACTCAGAACATAATTTCCAGGAATAGTTAATTACCAAAAGCATTTGACATTCTCATATCTGTGTAATTGTGATAATATGTGAGTATTTACACTGCTTTGCTTAGGGGATGGGGATGTAGTTCAGCGATAGAACACTTGTCTAGCATACTCAAGGCCCTAGGTTCAATCCCCAGTACTTCAGAGAAAATAATTAATTAATTAATTAATTAAATGAAAATAAAATGTAAAAACTTATAGGCTACTGCTTTATTTTCTGAGAGAAGATAAAAAGACATGCTCAGCTTCTATATTTCTTATTTTGCTTTAGTACATTTCTTTTTTAAGTTTGTGGTTAAAACACACACACAAACAGCCAAATCAAAAGGATAATAATCCTAATTATTTGGATAAAGAATCTAACAAAAGTGACAGGTCACTTCTCCTGGATTATAGTATTTTAAGTGTTGACATTCTTTAAGACATTTCTCTGATAAAATTCAAAACTACATAGAAAATTTGACTTCAAGAGCTTACATTGAGGTGGGTGTATACTGAATTGATGTTGAGATAATTAATTTGAATGGTCTTCATTAAGCAAGAAGATTCAGAAATGGGAAGATAAGAGCCAGGTGTGGTGTGATGGTGCAGGCCTATCATCCCAGCAGTTTGGGAGGCTGGGGCAGGAGGATCGAAAGTTCAAAGGCAGCTTCCACAACTTAGTGAGGTCTAAGAGCAACTCAGCAAGACCTGTCTCTAAAATAAAATATTAAAAATGGGGCTGGGGAGGTAGATCAGTGGTTAAGCACCCCTGGGTTCAATCCCTGGCACAAAAAAAAAAAAAAAAAAAGAATTGGGAAGATAAAAACAGCATGTTAACTTTAATTAATTCTGGGCTATTTCTTCTGAAGTATGGTAAATAATAACAAGCATTATTTTATTATAATTGCTCACACACTAGCCTAAGTTTCTTATTAATATGTGAGTATAGTATAGGATAAGTGCAGTGACTCTCTTATTCATAAGCTGCCTCGACATCTAATTAAGTGTCCATAATCCATTTTCACCAAATATTTTTCAGTGAGTGGATAAGGGAATGATTCAAGGGGCTAAGAGAATTAATAATGATGACTTACCATTGAATACTTTGAACAACTTTCTTTGGAAAATTAGTGGCTTCTTTTTTCCTCAATATGACAGTCTATCTTATTGTAAGTTAAGAGAATAAATATACTTCACATGGCTCTCCAAGTTTGAATATAAAATTATATTGGCATAATTATTAAATGGCTGAACAGCAGCAAAAGACAACAAAAACCCATCCCAAAGACAGCTGTCCAAATCATGAAGTGCTGCTTTAGTCTTTGATTATTATTTCATATTTGCCAGGCATCGGCAGAATGAATATTCATCACTTTCTGAGGTCAGTGGCTTCAGACTCCATGCTTCATTGCTCAATTCAAACTTGCATTTTTAAACCCTAAGTTATATGACTTTGAATAACATTTGAATTAACATCTTAACCCCTTGCACATACTTATTTGGAGGGAAACAGGAATTTATGCAATTAATATTGTTTCCTAATTTGTGATTCTCTTTAGAGTCTATATCATTAAAATAGTTCATTTTCAGAGCTGATTGACATATTTCTTTCCAGAAAGATTCCTTTCCTCAGTAACTATGATGTTAATTTAAAGTTAAGCTGTGCCTTTCAAATACATCCTCCCTGGGGTATCATTCTCACTTCATCTTTCCCCCTGGGTCAAGGTGGTTATGAGCACGCTTCATAGCTCTGATTCAGTGTCATCAAGGACAGAAACCTAGGCCAAGCAGGACTTGGGACTGAGTTCAAGGTGCTACCATCTGCTGAAGGAAATCAACCCTTCTTTCGTCTGTCTTCAGCTCATGGGTAGTTTTATCATTGAGTGGAGGTCCCTGAGTTGAGGCTGACACTCCATGTCGGCTTTGGTGACAGTTCACTTTTCAATAAGTGTTAGAAAAACACCGTGACGCATGCCTGATTGCCCAGGGGGAAGGTAAGCGTGGGGTGTTTTTCAGGGGACGCCTTTGCTCATTTGACCGCCAGGCAGCACTTACTCATGGTTCTATGTGCACACAGACAAAAGTGCCATTTGTGCCTTGATTGTCACTCACTGGGAAATTATTATTAAAATAAGACAAAGAGCTTCTTTCAGCATAAGGAGTGCTTCCAGAGTGTGTGACATGACACTTACGATCTGATGTTTTTTGGGAGAAAGATCTTTCTGCCACTTACCTAAAACCTTTCCCAACGTGAGGGATTTGATGGCGTTGAATTCTGTCCCCGAGGACAGGATGACTTGTCTCTGCGCACTCTGGTTAACCTATTAAACGCCCCGTGGGAAGCGAATGTCAAAAGGAGATACAGTTTTAATGATAAGGAAGCAGAGGAGGCCAGAAAAAAAATGATAAAAATAAGTCACTTGTAAGTTCTCAACAACGCTTAAATAATTCACCTTAAAACAACATTTAGGAGGGGAAACCGATTTTATGAACAACCTCTAACTGCCACAAGCCGCCTGCCCTCCCCCCGCCCCACTCTCTTTGCTGCTTTACTTTTCTTTATGATGTATCTGCAGTTGGCAGAATCCACAAGAGGACGGAAATCAATTATTTTAAATGTAAAAACTTATTCTCTGGAGGAGACTTGACACAGCCAAAATAATTGTAGTTTTATGTGCAGACTTAAAATATATTTTCTTTTGAATGTCAGTGACAACTGCCTGACTCTCTTCTGACTCAGGTCTATTTTCTTATTTATTCCCATTTCAATGAATATCTTGCATGTTCTCATCTTGTGTTTAAATTGCTGACCTATCTGTTCTTTTGCTATCACCTACTGAAATATTAATTAACAAATTCCACCCGTCGTCACCATGATAAACTAGACATTTCCCTGCTGAATCAAGTAAAACAAGTAAGGACATCTTGACATTTTTAAAAGGACTTAAGAGTAATAATAACTTTGACAGGATCATTGCTTAACAAACAAAACAAACTAAATACTCCTCTAAACCCTGGCTATATTTGGTTTTCTGCCTTGGTCTATGGAGAACACTTGCTCATTTGTTACTATTTATCATCATACTTTTGCATTAGATTATCCATTCTCCGACAGACTCCTCATGGTGGTTACTGGGACCTTCAAGTTTGCTGCATTACCTCTACAGAGACCACGGCTTCCTCCCTGTCAATCTTCAGCTGGTGAAGGTGCCCATCCGCCATGTTTTTAAAATCAAAGTTAAAAGCGTCTGGATCTCGATGTCTGTCTAGCTTGTACCTGACCTGCAAACTTCCTAAAGAGGAAAATAAATGACATTTTAAATTACAATGGTATTTTACAAATATTTCAATGCATATTCTAGAGCACTTATATTATTATTTATTTCATGCACCTTTGACTCTATTTAGCATTGACTTGAATACACTCAACACTTGCCTCTTCTATACTAGAGGCGACTTAAGTGCCAACCTGAGTCCAACTATACTGTTTCTAAGTCAAGATCCGGTGCATTGATAATCATTGGTCTTCTAAATCTTTCCGAAATGAAGAAGTTTAAATTATACATATAGAAACTCAGAACTTAAATCTAAATTACAACTATATTTATCTTAGAAAATGATAAAACTGTAACACTGTATCAATATTCAGTTCCTATTATTATAACTTATTTAATAGCATCTATTTTGATGTGTTACTGATATGTGCATAATTAAGTTTTTATTTTGCAACCAGAGTTTCCTTTTGAAGTCTTCTACCATAACCAAAGAATAGGGAAGAGAAAAGGTTTTATTAGAAGATGAGGTTTGTGTAGTTTTCATGTTTTCTGACATTCTTAGCTCTCTTACACAGATATACCCTCAGGGCTCACAACTCTTAACTACTTACATGAAGATTCTGATTCTATAGGATTGTCTAGAAATCAGATTTTTGTCCTAATTCACTAAATATAAAGTATGACTTCACTGTCCAACTATGAAAGTCCTGTAATGCCCCAGCTGCCACTGGTGGAGAGATTGTCCCCTCACTGTTCTTAGGTGGATGTCATCTAACTTGCTTGTCAACCATGGATGAGATAAAGAACCACTGCATTTATCAATTGCTTAAGGAAATTGGCTTTTACATAGCTCCATGATATCATCCATATTAATGCTCTTCTACTTACTTAGAATGAGCAGGAAATAAATACCTGGCAAATATCCAAATATCTTATTTCAAACAGACTTAGATCATCATGGAGTTTTAAAGCATCCTAGCAATCGTAAGTATAATTTCATATCAAATCTGTGAAATTGTCAGTCTTGGAATGGGAAAAAGCATCTTAATTTAACCTTTAAATACTACTTTTTATGATAAGCATTATGGAGAGTACTGAAAAACCAAAGTGCATCTTAGAAGGCATGCGACTTTCTTTATTTGTAGTTTAAGTGCTGAAAAGACCCATATCATTATAGTCCTATTTTTCTAATTCAGTGTTTTCTCTCTTTTTTCTTCACACAAAAGATATTCACCATTGTTGGCCAGGATAATGGAAAGGTATTCCTCATAGAAAGAGCTCACATAAAGCAGTAAGCTGGGTGTCCGCGTGGTTCGGAAGCTCAGTGTGACGGTCTCTTGGGACAGTGTGACATCCCTGTGTAATGTAGAAGCAAGGGAGCTGGTGTTGTCACCTAAGGGGTGATGATCTTGAAAATCATAGGTCACTGAGGAGCCAGTTTCAAAATATGCAGAAATCTCTAGAATGAAAAACAATTTTTGTCATGTTAACAGAATGCAAATACAAGTCTTGTTGAAAGAATGTTTCAATGTTTTATTTTATTTTGTTTACTCATATAAAGTAACAATAGCACAATCTCTTTTCTGTGTTTCTGGGTTCCCCATCTGTGGAGTCAGTCAACCTCGGACTAAAAAAATTTGAAAATAAATTAATTGTGTCTGTATTGAACATGTACAGACTTTGTTCTAGACATTATTCCCTAAACAATACAGTTTAACAACTATTTAGATAGCTTTACATTTTAAAAATGTATTTAAAAAAAGAATTTAATCCTTTTATCCTGGGAGATAAAATGGCAAAATGTTTTGTTTTTTCATGTTTTAACTTTAAATTTTTTAAAAAATAAAATTTGAAGAGCAAAGTAACAAATCCCAACATATAGCCCAGAATGACATTTGCTGGAGATTTCACTTAATTCTCCAAATTATCTTTATCTAAGACTTACATATGATTAATTCTTCTGTATAAATACATAATTTAAAGGCAGCTGTTTTGAGGTCCCAATTTTGAGGGGTGGGGGTGTTCAGTTTTGGATTCCATTTTTTTTTCTAAGAGGTTAATTTTTACATATCTTTATTAAGATCTAAACCTTATACCATAAAATAGACCCAATTAAAATGTAAAATTCCCTGTTTTCCGATATTCACGGACATGTGCATCCATCACTACCGTCAGTTTTAGTGCATCTTCATCAATCCTCTCCATCCTCATCCCATCCTCCTAAAAATTCCATATTCAGTTGGAATTCATTCTGTTTCTCTTCAATATCCTAACTGAGGCAATCACAAATCTATTTTCTATATTTATTGACATTCCCATTTTGGAGATTTCATATCAATGGAATCTTTACTGACTACCTTCTTTCACTTGGCACATTTTCAATAGTTGGTCATATTGTAAATTATAGCATTTACAAGCACATCATTCCTTTTTCACTGATGAATAATATTTCATTGAACAGAGGTACCACACTTTGTTGATCAGTTCATCAGATGATAGACATTTGGGCTGTTTCCACTTGAGCTATTTTAAATAACGCTGCTATCAACATTCAAACTTTTGTGAGAACATACATTTTCATTTAATATATACCCAAGAGTGGAATATCTTAGTCTTATCATAACTCCATCTTTAATATTTTACACTCCTAACAGCAATTTATGAGAGTTTCAATACCCCCACATCCCCACCAAAAATGCATTATTGCCTTTCTTTAAAACTATAGCTGTTTTTGAACTATGGTTGGCAATAAAGAATATTTCAAAAGAATAAGTAGAACAGACTTTGAATGTTTCCACCAGAGGAAAAATGATAATATCTGAGGTGCTCGATATTCCAATGAACCTGGTAAATCATTACACATTACATATATATGTATGGAAGTGCCATGCTGTACCTCATACACATGTACAATTGTATGTGCCTGTGTGTGTGTGTCTCTGTGTGTGTGTGTGTGTGTATGTGTATAATAACAGCCATCCTAGATGTGAAGTCATATCTCATTGTGGCTTTGATTGGCATTTCTCTAACAGCTAATGTTGACAAGCATCTTCTCACAGGTTAATTGGCCATCTGTATATATTTGCTGAAGAAATATTCACAAATTCTGCCCATTGTTTGATTAGGTTATTTATCCTTTGGATTAAGTTATTGGAGTTTTTATATAATTTGGATACCAGACCTTATAAGATAAATGATTTGCAAACATTTTCTTTTCTTCCATGATTTGGATTATCTTTTCACTTTCTGATTGAGCCATTTGAATCAGAGATGTTTTTAATTTTGAAGTCCAGTTGATCTGTCCTTTCTTTCTCCCACGTTTTAGGAATCCTACTGTTTCACCTTTCACATCAAGTTCTGCAACACACTCAAGGTACATTCTTTGTATTGTGAGACTGAGGTCCATTCTCACTCTTCTGCGGTGTACGTGGATACCCAGTTGTCCCAGAGACCCTTCTTTCCCTACTGAACTTCCTTATCACTCTGAAATCCATTGACCACAGACATGAAAGTAGAACTCTGGACTCTGATCTATATGGCTTGTCTCAGGCCAGCTACTCACTGTTTTGCTTATAATACCTCTACAGTAAGATTTGACATCAGAAAGTCTGGATGCACTAAATCTGTGCTTTCTCAATTTTTTAAAAATTTTTTTGGGGGGCTATTTTGAATCCCTTTCATTTCCATATGAATTTTACCATGGACTTGTCAATTGCTGGAAAGGACCTAGCTGGGATTTTGATAGAAATTATATCAAAAGGTAAAAGTTATTGCACATGACTTAGTCTTTTTTTTAACATAGAAAATCCTGAGAGATTTGCTAAAAATAAATCTGTAGATCAATTTAGGAAACATTAAGCCTTATTTATTTTAATTGTTATAATCCATGACTGAAGTATCTCTCTGATTATTTGTCTTTCTTTCAGATTTATGCTTTTACAGTGTACATCTTCCATTTCTTTTCTTACTGCTACATATCTTGCTTTTTGATACTATTATAAATGAAATTGTTTTTTATTGATTTTATTTTCAGATGGTTCACAGCCTGTGCACAGAAATGCAGTTGATTTTATATATTGATCTTTTATCCTGAAGCTTTTATCAACTTTTTTTTTTGTAATAGTAGAATAGCTGTTAGTATTTGGTAAGAGAAAACAGGATTTTCCATGTAAAAATGACTATATCATGTGCAAATACAGGAAGTGTTTCTTGTTCCCTCCAAATCTGGATGTAGTTTACTTTACTATTGGCCCTAGCTGGAACCTCTAGAACAACATGGAAGAGAAGTTGTGAGAGTACTCATATTTCTTTCTTGTTCCTGACCTTATGGAAAAACATTCCATCTTTCATAGTTGAATTGATTTTGGCTGTGAGGTTTTCACCAGGCCACTGGTTAGGCTCAGAGAACTCGTCTGTTACTAATTTCTTCATTTTTTAAAATCAGGAAAGTGTGTGGGATGTTGTCAAATTACTTTTCCGCAGAAATTAGATGATTATGTATTTTTGTTCCTTATTCCAAAATGTTATATTGTATTATATTTATTGATTTTCAGCTATTAAAACAACTTTTTTGGATAATTGCTATTTTATCTTGGTGAATGATCAATTTTATGCAATTGGCCTTAGTTTGGCAGTGTTTTCTTGAGGATTTTTGCATCTACATATTTAAGTGAAATTAGTATGTAGTTTTCTTTTGAAATCTTTGGTTTTGGTATCAGGAAAATATTGACCTTACACAATGAGTTGGGAAACTCTCTCTCTCTCTCTCTCTCTCTCTCTCTCTCTCTCTCTCTCTCTCTCTCCTCCTCCTCTCTCTCATTTAGCAGAATTTTGAATAACAAATAGTACTTTTTATTTAAAAATGTCATAGAAATTACCAGTGAAAGCATATAGACCTGGGCTTTATCTTATGTGATTGTTTTAAAATAACTAGTTTTGTTCATCGTTATAAGCTATTCAGATTTTCTCTATTCTTGAGTAAATTCGGTAGTTTGTGTTTTTCTAATAATTTGTTTCATCTAAGTTAACTGATTTTTTCACATATGTAGTTGTTCATAATATTCCCTAACAATCCGGGTTACTTCTGTTACTTATTAGTAATGTCTCTCTTGCCCCTGTCCACTCTAGTGACATTATAACTTAAATTCTAGTAATTTAAATTCTCTCTCTTGTTTTCTCTGTCAGTTTTACTGGGTTTGTCAATTTTGTTAATCTTTGCAAAGAACTAACTTTTGGTTTTGTTCATTTTCTGTTGTTTTTATAATACCTACTTTATGAAATTCACTATAATGTTTATTTTCCTTCTCATTAAATTAGATTTAGTTTGCTCTTCTTTGTCCAGTGTCTTAAGATGGAAGGTTAGGTTATTAATTTAAGACTTCTCTTCTTTTTAAAATACAGACAGTTAGAGCTATGAATTTCCCTCTAGACATGGCTTTAGCTGCATCAAATAGGTATTGTTTTCATTTATCTCTTTTTTAATTTCCCTTATGTTTTTTCTTCTTTGTCAAACTAGAAGTGTAAGATTTATAATATTCCATGATTTGTTTTTGCTATTGATTTCTAATTTCAATCCATTGTGTTTAGAAGGATTTTTTGTATGATTTCAATTAAAATTTAAGTTTATCAAGGCTTATTTTACAGGTAGCATGTTGTCTATACTGGACAATGTTCCATGAGTGCTTAAGAATAATATATTCTTCTATTATTGAGTGGAGGATAATTTGATTTGGGTTTTATTTTCCCCCAAGTTTTCTATTTTCCTGATCATCTTTGGCCCAATTAGTCTACCCATTATTTAAAGTAGAACTTTGAACCCTCCAACTGTTATTCCTCATTTGTCTATTTTTTTAATTCTGTCAGGTATTCTTTATGTATTGTGGGATGATATTATTAACTGAACAAATACTTACAATTTTTTATCTCTTTAAACATTATAAAAGTTCTTATCATTATGAAAGTTCTTTTATCTCTAGTAGCACCTTTAGCTGTAAAGTGTATTTTTTTCTGATATTAGTACATCCCCTCTGGTTTTCTATTGTCCTTCCTTCCATAGGATATCTTTCTCCATGCTTTTATTTTTAACCTATCTTTCAATCAAACTTTAGACAGCATATCAATAGAACTTCTTTGTTATTGTTACCCATTCTGATAATAATCTCCCTTGTGATGTATTGTTTATACCATGAAAATTTAATATTGTTATTGATAGTTAAATTTATATATATCATTTTACTTTTGATTTTTGTGTTTCATTTCTGTTTTATTTCCACTGTCATTCTGCTTTCTTTTACATTAGTAAATATTTTGTAGTATATCATTTTAATTCCTTTCTTATTTCATTATATTTTTGTGGCAAAATATACACATAATTTGCCATTTTAACCCATTTAAAATGTAATTTTTTATGGTATTACTTAAATCCACGAAATTGAACAATCACCATCAACCTCTACTTTCAAAAATTTTCCTACTCCTGGAGGGGAGGAAAAGGGGAAATACTGAGGGATGATACTGGACAAATTATATTGCTATATTGTGTGTATGTACAAATATGTAACAAGAAACCCCACCATTATGTACAATTATAATGCACCAATAAAACATATGGGAAAAAAATGTTCCTCATCCCAAGGAGAAACTCTGTACTCATGAAACAATAAGTCTGTATTCCTTTCCTTCTCCTACCCTTGTAACCTGTGATTTACTTCTTGTCTATGAATATGCCTGTTATCAATATTTAGTAAAACTGGTATCATACATTTGCCAACTTTATGGTTTATTTCACTTAATACAATGTGATCCATGTTGGATCATGTAATAAAACTTCATTCATTTGTACATTGTTTATTGTAACTGTACAGAAACAGAGTCAAATTTTGCATGTTGATTTTATATTCTGCAACTTTGCTAAATTCACTTATTGTTTCTAACAGTTTTTTTCTCCCTGGATTCTTTAGAGTTTTCTGTAATTAAAGCAACATAATCCAAGAATAGAGACAGTTCTTTTCTTTTGAATTTGGATGATCTTTTTCCTTTCTTGCTTAATTGCTCTGGCTAGAACACCCTGTACTATGAAAAGTATTAGGCATATCTGTCATGCTCCTTATCTCAAAAAAGAAACTTTAATCATGGAGTAGGATGGTGGCTGTAGGTTTTTCAACATGTGGCCTTTATTATATTGAGAAAGTTTTACTCTATTCCTAGCTTATTAAATATTTTATTATCATGAAAGATTTTTTTTCAATGTTTCTTTAACATCAATTGAGATGACCACATCTTTTTCCTCTTTCATTCTGTTAATCTTGTGTAACACATATTGAAATGCTGAACCACTCTTGAAATCCTACACTGTATATCCCAGTAGGTTTTGATGTATAATCCTTTTACTGTGCTTCACCATAATTTTTAATTTTCTTTTCTTCAGTGATTGCTCTAGGGCTTACAATGTATATCTTGTAAAAATCTGCTTTATATCTACACTAACTTAATTCAAGGGTGATATAGAAATGGTACTTCCGTATAGTTCTATTACTTCTACCTGTTTTGAGCTACTATTATACTAAACCCAACATTCCATTGCTTTAATTAGAAACTCTGTGCTCATTTAATTAGGATTTTATAAATTTGGTGTCTTTTAAAGCAGCTGAGAAAAGAAAAAAGTATGCATTCACATTAACTCTTTGTGTTCCTGAAATCCATGTTACCATCTAGTCTCACTTCCTATTCCCTTACAGCTTTCCTCCCACCTGTCTCCTCTGTGCTGTTACTTTCAAATACACATCTCCAGAGCCAACAATACACACACACACACATATTCATTCTCATTATAGTTTTATATAATTTCTTTTTTATATCAGTTAAAAAAGTAAGGATAAGAAATATACCACTATACTCTTTTTTTATAACTACCTATAAACTTATGCTGGTGTATGTATGTGCACCCAAGTGCACAGGTATAGACTGTCTTATTGCCCAGGGTTACTTTCTTTCAGCAGGAAGAACACCCTTTGCTATTTCAGACAGGCCTGCCGGCAGTGAGTTCTCCCCTCCCCCACCTTCTCTTTGCAATTTTCTCTTAAATCTGTGAATACCATCATTTTGCTGTCATTTTTTTTGAAACTTAGATTTGCTGGGTATAACTTTCTTGGATGACAATTGTTTTATTTGACATTTTTGAGTGTGTTATTTCCCTGATTTGTGGCTTCCAATGTTTCTGATGAAACATCAGCTGTTCATCTTGGTGTTTGCTTTTACACCAAGGAAAAAGGAGCCATCTTTCTCTTATCGCTTTCTAACAAATTTCTTTTTTGACTTCAGCTTTCAACATTTTTTGCCAAGGTGTGCCTGGGTATGGATTTTCTTATGTTTATCCTACCTGGATTTCATGTGTGTGTGTGTGTGTGTTAATGGTTTTCAAAAATTAGGGGATATTTTCAACTATTATTTGAAAAGTAATTTTTTTCTGATACTTTCCTTCTGACATTCAATTACATTATATGTTGGTATGCTTAATGATGTCTGACACTTCTCTGATGATCTGTTCGGTTTTTATTTATTCTGTTGTTTAAGATACATAATTTCTATTGACCCATCTTGAAATTTGCTGACTCTTCTGCTGATTCCAATCTATTGTTGAGTGTCTCTATGAATTTTTCATTTCCATTATTGTACATTATAATGCCAGAATTTCTATTTATTTCTTTTTTAGAAATATTTGTTTCATCTACTGTAATTCTATATTTGATGAGAACTGTCATATTTTCTCTCACTCAAGCATGGTGTCTTTGTCTACTTGGGCTGCTGTAACAAAACACTATAATCAAGGTGGCTCAAACCATTATTCTTTTCTCACTCTTCTGGAGGTTTGGGAGGTTTTCATCAACGTGCCAGAGATGTGGTGTGTGCTGCGAGCCCTCTCTGTGGTTGGCAGATGACTGCCTCTTGATCTCTTCCTATTATAAGGATGCATATATTAGCAGAGGGATCTCCATCCTCACAACCTCATGACCTAAAGCTAGGCCTCGTCTCCACATAGCATAATGTTGGTGATGAGGGCTTCAGCATATGAATTAAACATTCCTATGTTCATTCACTCCATAACATATAGTTACTTTTATTTCATTGCACATATTTCTAATAGCCGCTTTGGAATTCCTGCTTGCTAAGCCTGACTTTGGGAATCTCTCAAAGGCAGCTGTGTTTTTCTGCCTTTTGCCTCCTATATATGGAGAACACTATTATTTCATGTCTCATGACTTCTTATTTTGGTTGAAAATTTGATATTGCAGATAATATTGTAACAATTCTAGACATGGATCCTCCCCAGAGCTTGCTGTTTGGTTCTTTTCTTAGTTTAGTGATGTGCCTGGACTATTTTAATGAATTCTGCGTCCCCGAGAGGCACAAACTGTTCCACCACTGATCCAGTTAATCCAGACCCTCTGCCGGATGAGTCCATGGAATAGCACTCCTGCACTAACTAGGAAGAGGACCACTTTAGGATCAGCTCTCCTTCAAGATCAGAACTGAGATATTTCCTTTTGTGCCAGAGATATTCTTCAAACTTACTGTTCACCAGAAAATAAAATCTTTTTTTGTTTTTCTGGTGATATGGAGGTGAACCCAGGTCCTCACACATGGTAGGCAAGGATTCTACCACTGAGCTGCACCCTGAGTCTTTCAGAAAATAAAATCTTAAGAAGGGTGATATCTATGTTGTTCCAAGAGAAAGAAGATGGAAATATTTTTAGCTTCTCTTAAAACTTTTTACAAAAAGTTGACATTTTAATTTTACATCAGATTTATTCCAAAAATATGTTTAGTGTACACACACACACACACACACACACACTCACATCCATCCATTTATAAATAAAAGAAAGATGTTGAGAGGTGATCATTGTCTTGGAGTACTATGCACTCTTTGTATTTCCTTAAAATACAAAGAATTCCCTGAAAATCTGGATTATTCTTACTTAGGCTAAGAAAGTAATTATAACTTACCCTCTAGTCACTGGAGGGCGGGCCATTTCTTATTCACCTATAACAGAGTGTCTATATGCAATATAATTTAGGTTATGAAATGACATTCAAATTTAACTTTGCCAATGTGTGCTGCAAGTTATTTGGAAGCCCACACTGTGACCATGAAGAAGTGGTCACCCCTGACTAAAGCCCACCATCAAACGTGAGAAGTGTTCAGTATCCCTATTAGAATGATATGATTTCTTACCACAGATAGACACTAATTATAACTTCTCCAAGAGGAAAATCAGAAAACTTATGAAGGTGCCTTTTGGAAAATTTCTGTGACTTCTATGTAACTGATTCTTTTGAAAGGCAAACAATTTTTGTAGCAATTAAAGCCTATTATATAGCTAAACATAATGTGTGTGTGACAGCCAAGAAACACCTGAAGATACAAATTTAGCTTTGATGAATCAACATTCTAAGAGTTTCCATAGAAGTATTACAAATGTTAAGTATATTTAAGAAGTCAATTCAGCATACTTAATATTTAATACCTTCTGCCTTCAAAAGATGAGTTGTACCTAAGCAGAAGCTGCCTGATACACCACCAAGTTCCTCTAAGAACATAACATCTTACAGGAACGCATCTGTTTGGTGCTATTAATGACAAGTCAGTATTTAATGTTTAAATATGCATTTCCCCTCCTAGTTAATATATTTGTTTTCTATTTAAAGGTAATTTAAAACTTATCCTTACATCACATCAAATCATTGCAATGAACAACAATGATGCTTGGATGATCTTAAAATCAGAACAACCCAAAGGCAGAGTTTGGAAAATCATTTGGAGCCTTGACCAGAAGACAGGAGTAACACAGAGATTTTCCAAAGAAGGAATCCAGTGAGGATGTATATTCAATTGCACAGTCTTAGGTTTTCAAAATTGGTACTCTCCTAAATTCAGTAGAGAGATGGGGGTCTGAAATGACTCTATTTCTAATAATGGCAAATCTTACCCTTGCTTCACGGTGTCAGATGCCAGAGGTGTCCCTCAGAGGCTGTAGGCTCCCCCCACTTTCTCTAAAGTCCCATCCCTGGCCTCACTCACCGTGGGAGCAGAAGGGGCCCTCGTAGGCGGAGGCCGAGCAGTCGCAAGCCACCCCTCTGAGCCGTTCTCGACATCTCCCCTCGTTGCGACACAAGTGTCCGTAGCTGCCGCAGTGTCCCGCACACCCTGGCTCCACTCCTGGTGTCACTGTGGCTCTTTCCTCCAGGTCCAGGGCCATCCCATTCAGCTGCAGGGACCGAATGCACCCCAGGAAGCCCCTCTGCCTGCTGGCCGTCCCACCTACAAGGGAAACACTGCAAATAGAAATGTGCTCCTTGGTATTTTATCCAGGATTTTGTGTCCACGTCAAAGTCAGGCTTTAGGGAGAGTGGCAAAAATTGCAAATTGTTGAACATACCGTGAGTATGTAAAATTTTAAAAATATAAACTTGTATCAGATATCACGAAACCACAAAAGACTTCGGATAAAACCTCCTTCAACAACGTTTAGATGTAGTAAGATTGGCAAATACTCGTTCTAAGACCATTTCTTTAATTTCACCAAATATAGATCACATCAACCCTATTTTGCTTATGTTTATCAACAGTGATGTAGATTAGAACGGTTCTGGATGGACTTCCAAAACATTTACAAGAATAAAAATAGATGTAGTTAAATTTCACATGTGGATGATTTGCTCGAAATCAAGAATGAAAAGATACTGAGAAGCAAAGAAAGAGAAGCCCAAAGGGTGACACCATACAACAGGCACCAACAGTTGACCCCTACTCCATCCACTCCTTTCTGAGGACACAGTGGTATCTTTACTGAATAATATGCACATGCACATCTGATCACATCAACCTTCAACACTAAAGAATCTGTTCAGAGAAGTTGGCAACATTTATGTCAGGATAGACGTGGATTCGAAGGTAATAATAACAACCATTATATTATTATGAAAGAATTCCAGGAATTGCCTGTGAAATGTGGATTCTTAAGCCTCCACCTAGATATTCTGATTCAGTGGACCTGCAGTGGGGATCCCAATTCTGAATCTTCTTCTTCTTCTTTTTTTTTTTTTTTTGCAAGGAGGGGGGAGGGAGGAGGTACTGAGGGTTAAACTTAGGGGTACTTTACCACTAAACTACATCCCTAGAACTTTTATTTTATTTTTTTATTTTGAAACAAGCTAGGTCTCACTAAGTTACTCAGGGTCTTGCTAAGTTGCTGGCCTTGAACTTGTGATCCTCCTGCCTTGACCTCCAGAGTCACTGGGATTATAGGTGTGCACCACCACACCTGACCCAAATCTGAATTTTTAATCAGCTTCATGGGTGACTCTGATGATTTCTCCACCACTGTTTTATAAACCTTGCCTTAATATGAATGTTTATTCTAGGCAAATATTTATGTTGATTTTGTTCCTAGGATTTCCCTTAAATAATACTAAAAATTGTAAGTAAGAAAATAAAGTTTCTTAATTTAACTCCTGCTAAGTTTGTATCTGGAAAATACCCCAAGGGCCCATGTGGCAAAGGCTTGGTCCTCAGCTTGCCACCTGGAGCTCCTTGGGAGGTTTTAAGTCCTTAGGGGTGTGCCCTTAAAAGGACTGTAGGACCCTCATCTCCTCCTCTTTCACTTTTGCTTCCTGGCCATGAACTGAACATTTAGTTCTGCCCCCAGTTCCCCACCTCCACCAGAGGCTCAAAAACAATGGGACCACCTGGTCATGGGTCCAAACTTCCAAAACTGGGGGTCAAAACCTAATCCTTTTTTTCTTTATAAGTTGCTTAATTTGGGTATCTGTTACAGTAATAAAAAGCTGACTAATGCAGTGATATGTCAGGTAGTTTTGTGGTTTCAAGTCCTTCAAAGAAGATTCATCTTGCCCTAATGTAAGAACCACCTTTGCTTGAAGTTATATTTTATGGAGTCATAGTACGTAAACTCCTGCATGTGTGAAAGTCTCTCTCTCTCTCTCTCTCTCTCTCACACACACACACACACACACACACACACACACACACAGGAAGACTTACACACATTAGAATTCAGTGGTATAGCACTTAGTACCTGGAAGCTGTATGAATCTTCCTGTAAAGCAGGCTGTGAGATAATTTCTGATTTAGTCCAATTTCTAATTGGAGCCGTGTCCTTATTTGCTTCATCGTGCATAAGAAATAAACAAGTGAGCACTACTACCTCAGTGTGCTGGGTTTTTACATTAGAATGGAATTGTTTGGAAAGGAATATGGCAAAGTATATTTTTGCCCTTGGGGTAAATAAACAATGATAAAACCATCAACAGGCAAGCTAAAGGAAAGACGTCCATCACCCAGGGCTGACCTCTCTATACAAAAGCTCTGCAGGAATAAAGGAGCAAATCTGTGGTCTGTTTTTAAGCAGACAGTGGATGACTTTTGTCCACGGATAAGATAAACTTTCTACTGGAAGTGAAAAGGGAAGAAGTGGGTACAAGTGGCTAATGGTCACACAAGTCGTGTTGATCAGACCTAGTGGTCACAAATGTCAACCGTCTGTAACGTGAGCTGTTCAAGCCTGGGCATCAGAGATCCCGGGGCTGGATTCCTTTCACTGGTTGTTACTTGACCTCTTTCAGACGTGATGATCTCACCTGGAAACACCTGACGATAAAACCTACAAAATGAGTTACCTAATAAGAAGCCCAGCACCGCTCCAGAACCTACAAGGTTATCAATAAACAGCGCCAGCGGTTAGCTGCTGCTTGCATTTACCACTAAAAGTACTCCCACCATTGTGACTGTCTGCTGGCGCCCTCTGCGGTCCCACCAAGTTCAGCGGTGGCCACGGCACTCACCAATGAAGAGCTGGCTGTTGAGCTGCAGGCGCACGTGCCCGTCCGCAGGGGCCGGCTGTGTCTTCCTGGGGAGCTGGTCCACCTGCAGCGAGGCTCCCTTGACATTCCTCTCTGCCCTCACGTGGTGCCACCGATTGTCATTAAAGGGGGTGGGTGACCGCACCGTGACCTCACAAGGTCCATTCCCCACATCAAAGGAAAAGGTCACTTCTGTGGGAGCTAAAAATATCACATATGAATATTGCCCAAGTTCATTTCCAGGGGAGTACTGAGTCGAGTCAGGGAAACATCATGGCGTGCTCTTTACAAAAGGGGACAAAGGTATCGATGCAGACATGTGACTCCAGTTGGGGAAGGGGGGCAGGAGAAATTGGTATCCTGGAGGATAAAAACAAAACCACACTGATTTTAACATATTCATTTTGAGTTTAATACTTAACACACTCAGTTCTAGTCAGTAGATATGTACCCCTAGAGAGAATAAGAAACACAATTTGTTTTGTATCTGTAAGTAGTTTTACTCAAAAGTGGTTCAAAGTCTCCTCTAATTTTAAAACCAAAAAAATGCAGATTTTTACAGTCATAAATTAAGCTCTGAGTACATGAAAAAAAATCTGTCTGATCAAATATTTTAGGAAACAATTTTTTGAGTTTGGTTTAAAGTTCTGACTCTAGATGGCAATGGTCCAGGGAAGGCGAAACAATTTTATGGATTATTGTGTACTTTATGCTTCATGGTTTGACCCTTAAAAAGATTGACTAAAATTATAGAACTTTTGTGGTTAAAAAATAAATATGGTAAGAATGACACTATTTAAATTTTTGTTTAGTCAGTTTTCAATGCCAAGTAATGGGATCCTGTGACTTGTCCTGGGGGGGGGGGGTCACTCACTCTGCAGCTCTATCCTGATGAAGTCCGTGATGCCCAAGTTCTCCATAAACACACCAGAGAAAACTGTGGTCTTAAAAAAGAACTGTACGTCGGCAGTGAGTTCTCCATGGAAAGTGGGGAAATGAAGGTATGAGGTCTCAGTGTTGAAGGAAGCCGAATTCCAAAATGACTCTGTTTATGCCAAAAAAAAAAAAGGAAAAAAGAAAAACTCATGAATCATTTTTACTGAAATTTCTAGAAGCCTTCCCTGCCTCACTGAGTGTTCTCATTCATGCCGTATCATCAGGACATCGCATTTGGTGATTATTTTAAGGGTTAGAATTCTGTGTTGAGAAAAGACTGAGGGTAAGCAAAGCAAAAGTGTGACTGATTGTCACACCAACAACATGGGCAAGAGATGAGGGAGAAGGTGACCAGGGAGGTGGAAAGACAGGGGTAGGTTGCAGGATCATTTTCAAGTTCAAGTCAACAGAATTCACTGCTAAATTGGATGCAAGTGGAAGAGAGTCTGAAATGACACCAAGAGTTTTGGGAATAATTTTGAAGAAGCAAGTTTGACAGGGATACATTACCACTGAAATCTCTATTCGGCACCAGGTGGATTTTTCCAGGCAGCAGTTGGTCTACGACTCAGGAAGCCAGATCATAGAATCTTGCTTTCCATATTTTTTGCAAACTAACAATAAACAAATACAATCCATCGTCCTAGTAATGCCCTTCATAGCAAAAACAAAAATCAGAACAAAACAAAAAACTCCTTTTTTTTTTTTCCTTCTGGCCCAGAATTTAATCCAGGACCACACTTCATATTTATTTCTCAAGCCTCTCTAGTGCCCTTCATTCTAGACTTTTCTTGTCTTTCATGAATATGACTGCTATGGTTTAGATATGAGTAGACCCCCCAAATCTCATGGATGAGACAATGCAAGAATTTTCAGAGGTGAAATGATTGGGTTATGAGAGACTTTAGCTAATCAGTGGATTAATCCATCCATATGGATTAACTGGGTAATCATAAACTGGTTGGGTGTGTCTCAAAGAGGTAGATCACTAGGGGCGTGGCTTTGGGATTGATATTTTGTCCCTGGGAACCAGGGCCTTCTCTCTACTTTCTGATTCCCATGTCCTGACCTTCTTTCCTTCTCCACGCCTTTCTACTATATTGTTTCACTTCATCTCAGACCCAGAGCAATGAAGTGAGCTGTCTGTGGACTGAGATCTCTGAAATGAGCCACAATAAACTTTTCCTCCTCTACGTTGTTCTTGTCAGGTCTTTTGATCACAGTGATGCAAAGCTGACTAAAATAATAACCTCTTATTTTTTCATATTTTCTGGAGTATTTTTCAGTCGATTTGTAAAATGTTCCTCAATTTGGATATATCTGACACTTGTCATTAGATTAGTCTTGTGCATTTTTGTCAAAAATAGCACAGAAAAACAAAAGGAGTAAAGAAAGAGCCTTCAGAATGGGAGAAAATCTGCCAGTTACTCTTCTGTGAGGAGGTTACTAGCCAGGATATATAAAGATCTCAAAAAACACCCCAAAATTAACTCACTCAATAAATGGATAAAAAAATCTAAATAGACATTTCTCAAAAGAAGAAATACAAATGGCCAACAAATGTATGAGAAAAAAATGCTCAACATCCTTAGCAATCAGAGAAATACAAACCAAAACTACATTGAAATTTTACCTCACCCCAGTTAGAATGGCAATCATCAAGATTACAAATAATGATAGTTGCTGATGAGAACATGTAGGAAAAAGGTATATTCATAAATCATTGGTAGGACTGCAAATTAGTATGACCACTTTGGAAAGAAGTATGGAGATTCTTCAAAAGATAGGAATGGAACCATCATATGACCCAGCTATCCTGCTCATTGGTATTTATCCCAAAGAACTAAAATCAGCACACTGTAGTGACACATGTATACCATGTTTAGACAGCCCAATTCACAAGATTCATGCTATGAATCAGCCTGGGTGCCCATCAATAGACAAACAGATAAAGAAAATATTATATATATATGAATGTACGTATATATTCACAATGGGGTTCTACTCAGCCATAAAAAAGAATGAAATTATGCCATTTGATGGCAAATGAATGAAATGGAGAACATCATGCAGAGTGAAATAATCCAGGCTCAGAAAGTCAGGGGTCAAATGTTTTCTCTCAAACACAGAAATTAGAGATAAAAAGGGAATAAAAATGGGGATCTTATTAAAATAGAAGGGAAACAAGAAGAGGATAGGCAGGGGAAAGGGGGAGAATTGGAGATGACGTTGGTCAAATTATGCTAGGTATGTGTATGAATATATTGCAATTAATTCCATTCACATATAATTACAACTCATAATTAAAAAACAATAAATAATCACAAAGACCAATGAAGTAGAGGTAGGTGATCAAGGGGAGGGAGGAGGGGAGGTAAAGGAGACACACTAGGGATTGAAATGGATCTAGTTAAGTTATATGCATTAATGAATGCCAACATGACTGTCACTATGATGTAAAGCTGTAGTGCATTAATAAGAACATTTTTTTTCAAAAGCAGAGAAGTGATGCTCTGTCCTTCGGAGTGTATCACTTGCACTGTGCTAATGTGTCCCACTACTTGCCATGTTACTTTAATTGCTTTCTGCTATGGTATCTGTCATTGCTCCCATATAAAGTCAATATTTTTCTCTTTGTGATTTGAAACTATTTGGACATCTAATGGCCTTTACATAACCTGGTCCACTTTTCCATCCAGTGGTTTTATAGCAGATTGATGGTCCTTGAATTGTGGTGATACTGGTGATGTTCCATCATTCCTTGACATCGTGCTACTCTGTTAGGAAGGGCTTGTTTCTGGACCTCCTATTTGTTTTTTTATCCATTTCAATTTTTTATCCAGCATCACTCCTGGATCCCTATTGTTATAAATTGTTTATAATCTACTACTATCACTGATTTCAAGGCTTACGCTGTCCCAAATCAGGTCAGAGGGAGCCTTCTCAAGACCCTTTGACAAGAGCGGTTGATTGGACACAGTGCAATTTTTTGAGCAATTATTTTTATATAGCAGGACCTTCTGGGCTTATCCTCTACTTTCTCTGTCCCATCTCTGAAATCAGTCATTTTCCCAAGGAGTGGTGGTTTCTTTTCATGGAGAAGGATAGAAATGACATTCAGAAGTCAAGATATCAAGTCACATGCTTTTATCTCTTTGCTACTAAGGTGCCATGACTTCAAGGCCCTCTCAGTAGTCAGATGCAGGGAACAGGCGTATCGGCACATGCACCTACAGCACACACACACAAACACACCTTTTTGTGTATTTCATATTATCTACTGTGTATATGTTAAAACCCTTGAGTTCATGCTGATACCTCCTTTTCTAGCCTAGTACCACAGGGTGCTAGAATTCGGTCTTCCTTCTTTCCACATGGGTGACCCCATTCTCAGTGGGGTCACTGAGAAACATCTGGTTTTGTAATCCTCAGTGGATTTTCATGTTTCATGTTTCCCTTTCCCCATGGCCTGGCACAGTAGGGCCCACCATTCTGGGCTGCTTAAGGGAAGCTAAAAGAACCAACTGAAACTGTTTTAAAGAAAGTAGAGATGAAGAGAAAGAAGAAGGAGGAATTGGGGTAGGGGTGTCAGCCCTATTTTTAATTTTATTTAGAGACAGGGTTTCACTGAGTTGCTTAGCACCTCACTTTTGCTGAGGCTGGCTTTGAGCTTGCAATCCTCCTGCCTCAGCCTCCAGAGTCACTAGGATTACAGGTGTATGCAGCTGTAGAAGGAATTTTTGAAGAAAGAATTATTTTGACCATCACCTCACCCTCTGAAGTTTTGTTGAGAAATTGACATGAAGGAAATGCCCTGAGTCATCTCAGGGTTACACCCACATTCGGAGAGAAGTGAAGGGCTGGTATGAGTTGCCAGAGAACAAAGAATCCAGAAGAAAATTTAAGTGCAGAATTCTTACAGACCAGTGCTCGAGATCAGAACCTCAACAAACAGGAACCATGGCTCCAAATGTGAAGGAGCTAATACTGAAGTGTAAAAAGAACTGGATGCCTGTGGCATCCTGATATAAGTATAGGATACACATCGTGTTGTGATGGGAGCGCAGAACAGGACACTTGTAATTGTTGAAGATAAAGCAGCACAGAGAGCAGTTGATCGGACACAGTGCAAGAGACCCCTCCTTCATCAACTTGAGACATGGGGAAAAAAAGTGATAGAATGACAGACCCTAGACCTGAGATCACAGTTCAGAAGGGACAAGAAAGATGCATCAGATTGTGAGGAGCTGGATGCGAAGAAGAATTGAACCACATCATGTATCAATCAATCAAATGGATCAGAGCTGCCCGCTACACACCAACAAGTTAAAAAGCTATAACAAAGTAAGGAAGGGAGGGAGCGTGGCACGTGTATGGAGGAATGCTTAGATAAGTGCACTGAAGAGGGGACAGACAGAGATGAAAGGGACTGGAGGACAGAGGGCATGCATGGAGTAAAGCCGGCACATGTCTCAGATGCAGAGAATCCAACACATGAAACGCAAGGCATTCAAAGCATAATAAAACCATTCTTCTTAAACAAGAACAAAGTACTGAGATCAAAAAGCACAGTGGTTGCAGAAAAATTAATAGAAAATGACTAAGACTCAGGCCTATTCTGGGTGATGAATAAGATTGAAGGGGGACAGGTCAAGAACTGGGGAGCGTCTAAGGTCTCACCCCACTGCAGCTGGCCACAGTTTCACAGAGCCTGAGAGAAAACACACCTTTCTGGGTTGGAGTCAAAGGACTTTATTATTTATATCACCATGAGATGTGTGAGCACCTCAGTGTGAGCATGGTGGCCTTGCTCTGAATCTCACAGAGCCATGTGATTGGTGTGTGATGAGGATCCCAGGGACAGGAGCCCAGAACTTTCTGAGCAAGCAGCAAACGGCCCAGTGCCCTTCACTCTGGGGACTGGTGAATCATTGGTGGTGATGATGTACTCTCCTGGAGCTACTCTGTTTCCCACACATGCACAGAAACTGCCTGGTATTAGGGGACAGCAATGACACACACTCTGACACTCTCAGCAAGGACATGCAGGGATGCTCAGGGTCCACATTGGATGACCCCTCAGCAGCACCCTCCTCATATTAAGGGAGAGAAGTAAAAATCAATACTCCAGACGTCTGCCCAGCAGCATACGATGCTTATGAGAAAAAAACATTGGAACTTTCCCCTAAGGAAAGAGGTCTCTATATCGAGCCACTAGCTGCTCGTGTACTAGGGCAACAGGGGATCCTCACAGGTTTGAAAGAATTCTGGGACTGTGGAGGCAATGAGCCCTGAGCGGGTGAGGAAAACCTTGACCATGGCGTTCAACCTTGAATGAAAATCCTGCAGGGAAAAACACTATCTAATACCAGAGCCCATGATGGTGATGTGGTGTGTACAGGGTCTGAGAAAAGAAAGTGGCATTCACTGTTTTTATACCGTTAACGGTGTCCTGAAAATATAAGGGCAATCAACCAACATTCTCAATCATTCACAAATTTGGGAAATAGTTTTCTTAAGGACTGTTCCGGAAGAAAAACAATAAATGGACAATTAACCAGTCAACCAAATAATATGTTAAAATAAAGAGAAGTCATTCTCTGTAAACTAATACAGGGTGAGCATCCATAATCCAAAAATCTGAAATCTAAAATGTTCCGTATCCAAAAGTTTTTGACGCCACAAGAGGGAAATTCCACACCTGGCCTCCTATGACAGGTCACAGTCAAAATGCACGTGCACCAAAAATATTGTATAAAATTACCTTTGGGCTATTTGTATAAGGTTTACACGAAACACGAGTGTCATTTAGACTTGGGTTCCATCTCCAAGAGATCTCATTAACGCGTAGGCAAACATTTCCAAGTCTGAAAAACACCGCTTTCCAAAACATCTTGGGTCCCGAGCATCTCGGGTGAGAGAGATTTAAACAGCTGTTCACTCGTGAAATGTTGATCTTTAACACAGACGCAGTGCTTTTCCATCCCTGTGCTCATTATGGTGTGGATTTAGAATGTCCCCCAAAGCCCATGGGTGCCCAGCCTGTGTCACTATTGGGAGGTGGTAGAGTCTTTAGTGGGTGAGTCTAAGTGGAGGAGGTTGGGTCATATAGTGTGTGCCCATGAAGGGGCACTGGGTCCTGGCCCCTTCCTGTCTCTTTGCTGTGCAGCTGTGGCAAAGTGAACAGCCCCCTCTGACTCTCTCTCCCACCATGATGCCCTGTGCCACCACAGGTCCAAGCAAAGGGCCAAGTGTCCATGGACCCAACCTCCAAAACTGTGACTCAGAATAAACCTTTCTCCCTTTAAGGTTTTCATCTCAGATCTTTGGTCACAGCCACAGAAAGCTGAGGAGCACGAGGCTTTCTGATATCTGCTCTGGTCCCAGCACTGCCGTGAATTTTCTCTCCAGCCAAAATAAGGGCACTTACTTAGTTTTTTTTAAATAATCAAAGTATGTTATTATAAAGAGAAAGCTTTTTTTCCTGCCAGCACTTACTGTCCCCCTGGCAGAGCAGAGGCCCCAACGTATACACAGCTTCAGAGGGCGGTCGGCCCCTGTCCTTCATCACCACTTGAATGACTGGCAGGTACTCCTTCTGGGAAAGGACTGTGATGTCACTGGTCCTGGAAAACGACAAAGGGACCCTTAAGATGACTCCAGTTCTCTCTCTCTCTCTCTCTCTCTCTCACACACACACACACACACACACACACACACACACACAGTCACCTGTGATCTCTTATTTGAAACTGACATTTCAGAACTTAATGGAACACTTACAAACATTTTTGGCATTTTGAGAGCACAGAAACTGTTAAAAACTGAAATCAAAGTTTCTCTGTACATGATTGTGACTTTGCAGGCCATGTAGCCTCTGCGACTACTCAGCTCGGCCACAGGCACTAATGATGGGCATGATTGTGGGGTGATCAAAATTTATGGACACTGAAATTTGAACTTCATAACAAGTTTGATGTGTCATAAAACACTCTTCCTTCCAATTACTTAAAAATGTAAAACATTTCTTAGTTCATGGGCCAGACAATAACAGGTGAGTGGGCAGACGTGACTCACAGCAGTAGTTTAGCGACTCCTGATCCATTTGCCAATTCCTGAACTCACCGAACACAGAGAATAAAAGGGGCAAATCAAGAAGGGGGCTCATTTTGCAAGCACCGGATAGTATTTTCAAGATAATCAAGCATATAAAACTGCTCTTTAAAAATTAGTCTCAGGATACTACTCAAGCGATTATCAATTACAGATATAAATAGTTACAGATTTAGATCTTCACAGAATTTTACCATTAAATATTTGAAATCCTTTTATGGTTATTGGGTATTTCTTTCCTCAATAACTTTGTAAATTGTAAAATTAAACCTACAGATCAAAATGAATTAAATAGAATACCTTTATAAGTAATACACAAGTTAATGTATGTGAAAGTTCTGTGAGATGCAGAACCCAGCTATCCAGTGTACAAACATCGATCAGGCCCTGAGAGAGGCACTGAGGACACATGGGAAAAAACAGTGTGTGCCCCTAGTGCACAGCCCACCGGGCACTATGTTCCAACCATAGTTATGGCCATCAACATCTTCCTACGTGTGAGTGACTGAGAAATACAAGCAGGTCTGGAGCAGGAGCTGGGAGGGCCTGGGGTCCTGGTCACAGCTGTGCCACTCCTATTCTCTCTGTCCAAAATAATGGCATTCATCTCTTCTTTTGCAACCTGTTTATGTTTATTTTGTGACACTCAGTTGTGTACATATTCTGATTCAGAGACAAGGCACCCTTACTCTGGTTCCTCGTCCTGCTCTAGAATCTCTATAGAATCTAATAAATACTCTTGTCCTTAAGTCACTCATTTCTAAAACCTTCCTTGGCGTGGATTTATGGCCAAAGATCAGAATAATTAATATCAAATCATGTAAATCCTTTCATAGTGGCAAAAAATAAAGTTTTCTTAAGTTTTTATTAAAGACTTTAGGTATCAAAGCTTGAAATTGGAAAAGATAGAAATAAAATAAAATGGCTATATTAAGATTTTCATCATGTAAATAAATGAAGTAATCTGTAATGTATAAAAGAGATATCAATTAATGTAAGTCAGGTACTCTGCAATATGTGAAATATTTAGTGATACAGAAAGATTATTTCTCATATCCAGACTAACATCCCATAAGCTTACCTAGTCATTGATGTTTGTGCAAAGAACAGAGCATGAGTTATGAATTGTCACCATCATTTAGCTCTGGAGTGGACTGATGGTTGACAAGCAGAAATGTTCTCCTAGGAAACAGGGTAGGTCAGCTTAGGAGGCTGTGTATGAACACAGCAGGCATCAAAACCAGCATTTCTATCATTTCTATCATCTCATCAAGGTAGTCTAGTAGGGGAGCTGCACTTCTATGAGCTATTTATGAAGGATGCTTGAATTTTAAAAACTCATTTTGCATAGAAGCTCCAAGTTTCTTGACGTTTAACGCAGCATACAAAATACTGAGCTGTGTAAGGTGACAGCTTGTATAGGGCACCTCAGTTGCATTGGAGGAGATACTAAGTCTCCCCCTCCCCCATTATTTTGGAAAGCTCCCAGTCAATCATAAAAAAGGCTAACATTTTTCACCAATTTTTTGTTGGTATAGGCAGATCTCAACCTTTGCAGATTTATATAGATTATTGAAGATTTGCCATAGTTACCAGACTTCCTCAAAATTTCTTCAGCAATTGGGACTTGTTTTTTTTTTCTTTTTTCCCTATTATTTTCTGAAATTTATACTACAGGTAAAGTAGTCCTAATTTGAAAACCTAAAATGGGAAAACCTCCAAAACATAAAACATTTTGAGCCCCAACATGATGCCACAGGTGGAAAACTCCACTCAAGACCTTTTGTGATGGTCAAAGTCAAAATGAAGATGCATTAAAAATATTGTATACAGGTCCCTTTAGGCTGTGTGTATTCAGGGTTCAGACTTGAGTTTCATCCCTGAGATATCTCATTAAGTATTTGCAAATATTCCAGATTCCCCAAATCCAAATTCTGACACACTTCTGATCCCAGGCATTTCAGATAAGGAATACTGAGCCTCTAGGTAGTGTAAACATGGGAAGAGTATATTTCTAGATATGATAACCCCTTCCAGTAGTATTAAAAATTCAGTAAGAAAGCTTTCAAAGACTTTTTGCTTGAAAGTTCCCATTGTTCTAGAAATTATGCTTTCCTAAGAAATGCCATGACTTCTAAGAACTACTATTAATTGTTTACCAAGAGATTTGATTTGATGCAAAGTAGAGCTATAAATTTGGGGAGTTGTTAAAAAAGCCAAAAAGGAAAAATGTTGAGTCCACCTCAACATTTAATAACTAGGTTAGTAATAAAATACATATCATGGTCCACAACTAATCTTAAAATCTTTCCAGTTTTTCAACTTCTGTTTCATTGACCTCTTGCCTCTCTCTTGGCCAATTCAGCCTGCATTAATTAATTACTATCGTAATACAATTTGTCTTGATATGTGCTAGGACCCATCTCTTCATCTTGATCTTCATCTTAAAAATCATCTTGCTTATTCTTTGAGTTTCCATATGGATTTGAAAATCCACTTGTTGCAATCCACGCCAATCAGTAAAACACTTGGCATTTGTTAGAAATCCCACTAAATTTATAGAATAATTTGGAAAAATTACATCTTTAAAAGAGGGCTTCTCAATAGCAGTGTTTTTGGCATTTGGACTGCATAGTTTTGTTCCATGAGGGTTGTACAGTGCATTGTAGAATATTTAGCACTTTTTTTTTTTGTACTAGGGATTGAAACCAGGGGTGCTTTATCACTAAGTCACATTCCCAGCCACTTTTATATTTTATTTAGAGACAAGGTCCCACTGAGTTGCTTAGTGCCTCGCTAAGTTGCTGAGGCTGGCTTTGACTCGTGATCCCCCTGCTTCAGCCTCCCAAGGCCTTTAGCACTTACTAAAGACACAGAAACATTCCTTCCTTTGTGACCACAAAACTGTCTTCAGATAAAACAAGCATTCCCCGGGGGATCAAAAGCATACTTGATTGAGGACTACTGCTTTAAGCTACTACTGACTCATAGAATCTATGACAGTAGTGAATCAATCTATTTATTTGTCTTCTAAATCTCAATATTTTTTAAGATAAAAGTATTATACTTATTCTAAAGAAATTTACATTATAACATAGCAAATAGTTTTTATTAAGTCTTGCAGTGTTAATTAATTTATGCTTTTATAGATATTCAAGTAATTTCTCAATACTGATTGATCGAAAATTCGGCTTATCAACTGAACTCTCATTCACCCTGATAGTATTTCATTATATCACCTTCAATTTTCTGTGTAGGCAATCATGTCATTGGTAGGTAATGATGGCAGCTTTGTTTCCTTTTTTACAAACTTTTCATCATTTGTTTGTTGTGTGTTTCTGTGTATGTGTGTAGGTGTTTGTAACTGGCATGTGTATGAGCTTTTGTGTTTTCTACAATGAATGGTTGCAATATCAATTTTCTTAACTTTAGTTTTGAAATACTCTTGCCTGTTTCACTTACTGATTCTCCCTAGTCATGTTGAAATCTTTCAGTGTTTTGAATAATATCTCTATTTCCCTTTGCTTCCTTGATAATTCTTTCTTGATATACTTTTTTTTCTTGATATACTTCTGATGGTGCATATGAGAGTTGTTGGAGCATCTCATGAACAAATCTCAGCATCATATAGGGTCCAACTTTATCCCCAACGGTGTGGTTGTCTTTGTCTGACCTAATACAGCTACACCTGCTTCCTTTTGATTTGTATTTACCTGGTAAAAATGTCTCACCCTTTTACCTCCAACTTTACTGGGTGCTTATGTTCTCTTCTGTGAACAAGCTATGGTTTCTTTAAAAAATATAATATGATAATGCCTAACGTCTGACTTCAAAATGGACAGAGAGTGCCTCACATTCATGGGGTTAGTTGCACATCTGGATATGTTTAGACTATCTTATGTTTTGCTTTATATCTGCCCTGAATAATAATTAAACAAAAGTCCTTAGACAAAAATATAAAATAATAATAATAAATATAAAACAATATTATATATAGCTGCAGGGATCATCCTAACTAGCAAAATAACTTATGGATTTTTGGAGAAGTTGAATTCTATGATGTATGTATATTGTAGAGAATGTATAAAAGACTCTTGAACAATGTCTACTATAAATTTATACCTATAGATTGACTTGGAGCATAGCTTAACATTTTACATTATTAGAGTGCCTTTTACATATGTGTATTTTATGTTAAATGTTTGGTATATTGGAATTACTGTAGAAATTTAATGAAAAAGTCTTGCTTTAATTGGTGTGCTATCTAATTATCTTTTTTTTTTCATATACTGCTTTAAATGAGCTCCTGACTACATCAAACAGGAGCTAAATGGGTGGGGGATATAGTTGATTCCTTTTATACAAAACCTCTTGGAGTTCCATCGTGTTAATGGAGTTCCCATGTTAAAGTTTACTCACAAATTCCTAAGAAATATATAGTGTTATCTCCTAAATATATTTAAGACAAAGCTTTGGAGGAATTCACCTTCTGAATTATTGCCATGAGTGCCAGATTGCTCAATTAAACTGAACTTCAGAGAGAAGACACTTGACTTTTAGTGAGTGGGAGACTTACCAAGTACTTCCAATTGAAGAAGAATAAAAAGCACATTATCTGGTATTCGCAGTGAAATAGTGAATCTTTGGTCATACAATTTAATCTTTTGATTAACTGAAGGTATTCCATCCAAACTTATACTTTTAAGTTACTTGAACATCATGTAGTTACTTATTTGTACCGATCTGACTGCTGTGTAATTAACTATGCATAACTGAGGAATAAAAACTACATTTCTGTGCAGGGACAGCATGTGAAAATCACCATTCATCCTGGTCACCGTCACAGCTGCAGTGATACTGAGAGTCCAGGCAGCTCCCCTCTCGTCCACAAGTGCACTTTTGTGCATCTGGCAGAGAACCTCCCCAGTAAGTGTGAGTTCCATTGGTTCTTCTAGCCCACCAGCTCAGTGGGGTTCCATCTGAAAGACAAGTATGAGAAAGGTGACATCTATTTTGCCCCTCCCCCACCCCCCACCCCACCTCCGTCCAAAATAGTTCCCTTTATTCCCAGGTCTAAAATGCAAGTGTGTGTGTGTGTGTGTGTATGTGTGTGTTTGTGTAAGAGAAGGAAGATACACTTCACTTCAGAAGCTATATTTTACTCCTGCCAATAAAAATGTGGTTTCTCCAAATATATGGGCCAAGCTTCTCCCCTCAGTGTTTCAATATCTAGGCTTAAATAATCCCCATCATCTATTTTTATTTTATTAGGAAATGAGTCCTTAACTTACTTGTACATGGATATCACATATTTTCCATAAAAATAACATTCAAAAAACATTTGCCATCAAAACAAGAGTAAGAGTAATTTATATACCCAGGATGAATCTGTTTGAGATGACAAATGCTCCCAGAGCAAGTTCAATGTCATACAGAAACAATGATCTATCGCCCCACATTTTTTTTTTAAAGAAAAGTTGCTATACATTAGGCCTTTGGAAAGGCATGGCACCCTCTGTCAGGACTTAACACATATTTTTGAGATTTGTGTTTTTCTTGTATTACAAGGCCTGACTATTTATCTGGAGGCTAAATAAACGCATGGATAGGTCTTCTTCAAGTCTCAAGTGAACATGATGCTGAGAAACCAAGTCTGCCCGGTGCAGATGTTCAGTGCCATCTCCCCAACCCTGGCTGTGGTCAGATGACAGAGCTGGGAGCTATTGCCGCAGTCTGGCTGGGCACAAATCACGAGCCACTCGAGCAGGAACAAACTTTATTTCTGAACTCCACCAGCACACTCCACACACGCTCCCCAGGAACTCTGCGGCTCCTCCAGGAACACCCAACCGGAAATCCCTCCTCCGGCACTTCCCCAACCAATGCGAACTCTTCAGGAATCCCTGCGAGAGCTCAACCGGAACTCAACGGGAACTCAGCGAGAACTCAAAAGTCATCATCTTAATGGCTCGCTGGCATCACCTCTCAACCACTACTTCTGGCAAAAATGCCATGCGTCATCCTGACTCTGCTGTGGCCCTCAACAAGCTATCTCAGCTGTACAGAACCACATGTTAAGACCAGGCATGCTGTGGGGAGGGGGCCAGGATGCACATGGCAGTGAGCCTGGGATGATTACAGAAGCAGGTGTGCAGGTTAGCCCTCTTAGAGGAAGATGCAGGAGAAGATAAATTGCAGTCATCCCAAAATTAGAGGATGAAGAAAATGGAATTGGATTGCTTCAATCAATTTCCCAAATGTGCTTGATCATTTGGTGCTGTTTTTCAAATTTGTAAGTTGTTATTGTTGGGCCTTGAGTTGAGATCTGGAACTTATCCCAGGTTCTACCTTTAATGCTTAATACAACTCAATTATGATTCATTTATAGGTAATATCTCTGCATTCATCGTCCTCACTTCCACCCTCCCACCCCCAAAAGAAAGGAAATTTAAAAAAACAAAAGCAATCCTGAGAAATTTATAGAGGAGTCAATATCTAGAATCTCTTAAAAATACATTGAAAGCTTGTTACTAGGAAATAAGAGATACTCAGAAAATTTAATATTCTTTTCTCAAAATGCTACTTTGAGAAATGCTACATTACTTCCTTCACCACTACACTTGCTAGATTGAAGAGAAAAATACTCACTATATCCTAGTGCAATTTACCTGCAAATCTCCCTGTAAAGTGGTAAAAAATAAGTTTTTGAGAGATAGTAAATATCTTTGGTTCTGCTCAAATGTCTTAGAGAACAATCAAAAGACTTCTGGTAAATTTCCAGACTGATGAGGATGGCGTACACTTATCTTTTCCTGCTTCTCCCCACCAAGCACAATGATAAACCCTAGAGATAACACACAAGAAGAACCACAGGAGATTCTGAAAGGAGGAAAGAGGGAGGCTAACTGGTTAGGACCCTGAACTGGAGGGAAATTATCATAGTTCATATAGAATTTCATTACAATCCCCCATTCATGTTAAAATAAAAAGTTTCTCAGAAGGAAGAAAGATTATATGGATTAGAAAAAATTTGCTCTATATAAAGAAAGAAGGAGCATTAAAGAAAGAATAAATGAAGCTAAAATATAATATTTTGACGATCAATTGGGGTTCATCCCAGGAATGCAATGTTCAACATTTGGAAATCAATAAATGTGATTCATCACATCAATAGATGCAGAAAAAGCATTTGGCTAAATACAGCTCCTCCTCATGTTCAAAACATTAGAAAAACTAGGGATAACAGGAACATATCTCAATATCGCAAAAGGTATCTATGCTTAGCCCCAGGCCAACATCATTCTAAAAGAAGAAAAATTGAAAGCATTCCCTCCAAAAACTGGAACAAGACAGGGATGCCCTCTTTCAACACTTCTATTTAACATGGTTCTTGAAACACTGGCCAGAGCAATTAGATGAAAGAAATTAAAGGGATACAGATAGGAAAAGAAGAACTCAAATTAGCACTATTTGCTGATATTATGATTCTATACTTAGAAAACCCAAAAAAATCCACCAGAAAACTTCTAGAACTAGTAAATGAATTCAGCAAAGTAGCAGGATACAAAATCAACACCCATAAATCAAAGGCATTTCTGTATGTCAGTGACAAATCCTCTGAAAGGTAAACAAGGAAAACTATCCCATTTACAGTAGCCTCAAAAATAAATAAATAAAATACTTGGGAATCAATGAAAGAGGCAAAAGATCTCTACAACAAAAACCACATAATACTAAGGTAAGAAATTAAAGAAGACCTTAGAAGATGAAAGGGAGATCTCCCTTGTTCTTGGATAGGCAAAATTAATATTGTCAAAATGACCATACTACCAAAAGCACTATACAGACTTAATGCAATTTCAATCAAAATCCCAATGACATTCCTCATAGAAATAGAAAAATCAGTCATGAAATTCATCTGAAACATAAGAGACCCAGAATAGCTAAAGCAATCCTTAGCAGGAAGAGTAAAGCAGGTGGGATCACTATACCAGAACTTAAACTATACTACAGAGTAATATTAACAAAAACAGCATGATATTGGCATCAAAACAGACTTGTAGATCAATGGTACAGAATAGAGGACACAGAGACTAACCCACATAATTACAGTTATCTTATATTAGACAAAGGCGCCAAAAGCATACATTGGAGAAAAAAGATAGCCTCTTCAACAAATGGTGCTGGGAAAACTGGAAATCCATATGCAACAAAATGAAATTAAACCCCTATTTCTCACTATGCACAAAACTCAACTCAAAGTAGATCAAGAACCTAGGAATTAAACCAGAGACACCATGTCTATTAGAAAAAAAGTAGGCCCAAATCTCCATCATGTTGGATTAGGCCCTAACTTCCTTAATAAGACTCCTGTAGTGCAAGAATTAATATCAAGAATCAATAAATGGAATAGATTCAAACTAAGAAGCTTTTTCTCAGCAAACGAAACCATCAGTGAGTTCAATAGAGAGCCTACAATTTGGGAAAAAATTTCTACTACACACACATCAGATAGAGCACTAATCTCTAGGACATATAAAGGACTCAAAAATCTTAACACCAAAAAAACAAATAACCCAACCAATAAATGGACCAAGGACCTGAAGAGACACTTCTCAGAGGATGATATACAATGAATCAAAAAATATGTGAAAAAATGTTCATCATCACTAGCAATTAGAGAAATGCAAATCAAAACATCTCACTTCAGTCAGAATGGCAGCTATTAAGAATATAAACAACAATAAGTGTTGGTGAGGATGTGGGGGGGAAGACACACTCATACATTGCTGGCGGGACTGCAAATTGGTCCAGCCAATATGGAAAACAGTATGGAGAATCCTTGGAAAACTGGAAATGAAACCATGATTTGTCAGCCATCCCACTCCTCAGTCTATACCCTAAGGACTTAAAAGCAGCATACTACAGGGACACAGCCACATCAATGGTTATAGCAGCACAATTCACAATAGCTGAACTGTGGAACCAACCTAGATTCCCTTCAGTAGATGAATGAATAAAGAAAATGTGGTCTATATACACAATGAAATATTATTCAGTACTAAAAAAGAATAAAATCATGGCATTTGCAGGTAAATGGATGGAGTTGGAGAATATAATGCTAAGTGAAGTTAGCCACTCCCAAAAAAACCAAATGCTCAATGTTTTCTCTGATTTAAGGATGTTGATTCATAATGTGGTTGGAGGGGAATGGAAGAATTAGATGAACTCTAGATAAGGGAAAGGGGAAAAGGGGAAGAAGGGAAAAGGAGGAAGCAAGGGGGTAGGAAAGATGGTGGAATGAGACGAACATCATTACTCTAAGCACATGTATGAAGACATGAATGGTGTGACGCTACTTTGTGTACAACCAGAGATATGAAAGATTGTGCTCTATATGTATAATATAAATTGTAATGCATTCTGCTGTCATATATAAAAGATTAAAATTTAAAAAAAATGAAAAAAGGAAATAAAACAGAATGGTAAAAATGGAAAATGATAAATATATTTATGGAATGACTATCAGGTATTAAGTCTAGTATTTAAATGCAATTATTGTAGCATTTATTAAGCACTGATAATAGCAGAATATGAGAAATAATATGGAAATTAATGAAATAACACCCAAGTTTAGATTTATAACTAAAAAATGACACATAATTGCAAAGCAGTAAGACATAGATATTGAAAACTTAGGATTGAGGAAAAATCCACCTGGGATTCAGATACTGCATCTTCCTTTCATTAATCATGTTACTTTCTTGTATACATATTGCCTCTATAAAATATGGATGATATTAATATGTACTGTGTGTAATATAATATTAATATTACAATATTAATATGTAATATGGTTGTAGGTGTGAAATCTGAATAAAATAATACAGGTAATGTGCCTGATCTATAATAAATGACAAGTAAATGTTGAAAAAAATATAATATTTTACCTTATTCTTAATTGATATAATATATGAGT